ATGCAAATTTGTCGAATTTTTATGCATAAATCTTGTACAATTTGAAACTTTGAGTTGTATGGTTTTCGTTGTAGTATAAACCAGTGACTGAAAATAACAGTTAAGCAACAGGATTTTTATTTTTAGATCATTGCTAATCGTTATTTTTATGAAGAATAATAATAATCGTTATTTTTATGAAGAATAAAAATAAAAATCATAAAATACCAGTCAAATTTGGTCGGAAAATATAAATACAATTTTAACGGTTTAATTTAGATTTTTGGTATAAAGATCCTAACCTTTACGGTCCCTGGTATAAACTATATTTTTGTTAAAAAAAAAAAACAATTAAAAAATAAATTGTCAAGAACTCGTGTTTCTATGTATGTATGTATATGGACACCACTGTCTGTAGAGCAAAGTGTTTGAATAAAAATATGCGACAGTAAACTAAAAACTTTAGTACATATGTATGAATGTATGTACTACGTCTATAAACGCATACCGTATTTGTATGTATGTTTATGCCCAGTAAATGATGTGCTTTGGTTTCAAGTTGTTGTTGTTGCTACCGTATTTCATCGCATAAATGCTGCTGCTCTATAGCTATACCCCCTTCATTGTCGTTTGTTCGCTGCTGTCGTCAACACTCTACATTCATATATACATACTCGTATTGCGGTTAAGTGCTGCTCAACTACTCGAGTCCCCGAACACCTGATTGTTTGCCTACTGGGTGTGTTACTGGCTAGTTGGGCATTCAATCCCGAAGCATTTTAACAATTCCGAGATTCCGAGATGCAAAAATTCTAATCCCGGGATCCCGGGATTTTTCGGGGACTCGACTTTATCACAACTTTTGCATTTAACAGTAGGTTCGCCTTTTTTAAACCACACAGATTCATTGTCACCGTTTTTGCTCTTACAGGGAACATAATGCACCTTAGTAAAAGAGGCCGTAATTTAATGTCTAAATATTTTTATAGTATTCTTAAATATCTATATTAATTGTAAAAACCCCTGGCTAATATCTTCAGAAATTCATTTTCCATTCCAAACGCTAACAAACTAAAATGAGGAACAACCCTTCCACACTGTAAAATCTTGTTGTGCTTTCAATTGCTACCAGATTTTTCGTTATTACATAGTTCTTGCCACAAAATGTTTGAACAAGTACAGTTATTCAGGCAGTTTCTGAAATTCACGTCCGAGTGCAAATAGCTCAAGTTCACTTTGAATCAAAATTTTGGTGTTCTGTATATTTCGTTTTTCATCTCAAATTAATTAATTTTTTCGTTTTCAATATATCTTTTATTCCGTAAATGACTAAGTAAGAATCTCGGGATCCCGAAGCTGTAATCCCGCGATTTCGGTACATGTAAGTTTCCGCGATCCCGGAATCCTACTGCCTGCTTCAGCTATCACTGTTGGTGTAGGGGACGTCACGGCCGTGCCGTGGTGGTGTTGTGTGATAATCGTTTTTGCTTTTTAATATTTATTTAAAAGGAAAACAATGCGAAAAACGCAGTGCGGATACTTGTGTGTCGCCTTTGTTTTAATTCCTTCATTAAATGGATTTATTTCTGTAAACATTTCTTTCAGCGCGCACGATTAACCCAGCGCCGCCGGTCATCACCGACCACCTACCACCGACGACCACCGTGCGCCACACCCACCATATATATTCAGCTCACTTAAATCACTATTCAATTGACGTTCTTTCTACTCCGCCCACCCCCGTGCACCTGCATTCTTCGGTGCCTTTTGTCGAGGAAACTATTGTGCGACTATATGTGTGTATTTGTGTTGAAAAGATGAGGTGAAGTGATGTAATTGATTTTATGCAGCCAGAAAAACAACAAAAAGCATACATACACACACACAAAATGAGAAAAATAAAACCAAGAAAAAAAGAAAAATAACAGCCACCTACATACATACATATGTATGTATGTATGTATGTACTTACATTGACATAACAGGAAAATAGTAAAAAACCAAAAACAACGTTGGGAGTAGTGAATGAAAAAAAAGTTTCGTCGCAGAGACAATATTGATATTGTGCAATATAGGCCTGTACATCATGTACATGTACATATGTATGTAGGTATGAACGTGCATAGGCTGGCTGGCGTTGATACTGGTTCGGGCAGAATAATAAAAACATACAAACAAACTTTTATTAGCAATTTTATTACGACTTATCAAATAAAAATATATAAATAGCCACAGAAAGAAATCATCGATACAAAAGCATACGCATGTAAATCCTACCACCTTAATAATAATAATAATAATAATAGATTGGCGCTAACACATATGTTAGTGTTTGGCCGAGCTTCTCCTGCGACTTGTGGCGTGCGCCTTGATGTTGTCACACAAAGCGGAGGGATCTACAGTTTTACGCCGACACCGAACGGCGATTGTATTTTTATGAGAAGCTGTTTTTCATGGCACAAATACACTCGGAGGTTTGCCATTGACTGCCGGGGGACGACCGCTGTTAAGAAAAAAACTTTTTCTATATTTTTTGCGATGTTGCTTTGACCAGGGTGTGAACCCAGGCGTTGCGGAGTGGAAGCTCGCACTGCTTACCACTACACCACAGCGGCCGACTAACATTCCTACCACCTTATAAGCAGAAAAATAAATTCGCCGTACATCTATAGACTATACTATTTTTGCAAGGCAATTAATTTTTTTTTTTTTTTACCGAATGTAAGGTCGCCTTTTTACATTTTTCGTCATATCTTGGGCATTTACAGTCGGATCTTAAAGTATGATGTATCGATGTGAACATACATATGTATCTATTAAAATGAGGCGGGATGTATACATATTTGGTATATAAGAATAACAATAACTGGGCTCGAATCTCTAGACCTGCGGAATGGTAGTGCGCACTTCTAACCACTACACCACAGCGACAGCTTTTATGGAAAATCCGTTTTCAATACTTCTTTGAGGGATTGCTTTAACCAGGGATTGAACTTTGGCCTTAGAGATTGGATGTACGCACCTCTAACCACTCGGCTATAGCTACGGAATATGAGAATAACGCTTTCAAATTTGATTTACCTACAAATCCGCGTAATTTTGTTTTTCGATTATATAAAATACGCTTTAGAGTTATATTTTGAAGAGAGTTACCATTTGTTTAAGAAGCCGAATTAATTTAAATTATATACCAGTTATATGAAATATTAAAATATGGGTGTCAAACGAATGAAAATCTTTAGTTTGAACACTTATAGCCAGTTTCACGAAAGCAATTTAAGTGAAAAATAATTTTTTTATTTCAATTTAATATGGAAACTGACAGAAAAAAATCATTTTACACTTAAGTTGCCTTCGTAAAACTGGCAGTTATACTTTGTTTGAGATGTTCGCAGAGGGGTTTGCCACCTGTTTAAAAAGTTAAATTCAAATTATTTAATAAGTCAAATTATTTCAATTTAGGTATTAATCGAAATGGTTTTGAAAGGGCTTAATTTCAAAACTACATGTAGGAGGGTTGCCACCTGTTTAAACGTGTATGTCAACTTGAATTAAGGGAATTAGGTTATGCATTATGTATCACAAAATGGGAGTCAGACGAAATAGGTTTATTAAGGTTTTAGTTTAGATAAGGAGCGTGGTACATCCCACAGCTTGAAAGTTTTAATCAGTTATAACTTTGGAACCATAAGTCACATGAGATTGATAATTATAATTGGTGTGAGACATTACTAAATAAGGCGCTTATGGGAATGGGCGTTGCACCTCCCATAGACTTGGTACATTCAGAGAGCACATGACGCTGGAATTTGGTGTGGAAATATAACCATGATGAAAACATAGTCAGATAGAATTGCGGAGAGACCCCACGACAGTCGGGTCTACGTAACTGAAACGACCCAGATTTCTATCTGGCCAAGGCCCGTCACTTCAGCATCACTCCCCAAAAACTTTCGGGAATTTGTATGCTGTTACAACAAGAACTTTTAGCATTTTTTACGTTTTCAAATAATATAATTTTAAATTTTTCTCACAATTTAACACAATTAAATTTTTTTTATTTTCAATTTTATATGATTTTATAATGCTGGCAAATTAAAAAAAAATCATGGCCGACGACCTGAGAGAACCTTTTTTCCGTACTATGTTTTTATAATGGACATAACTATGGCAGATGCTCATAGTAAGGTATACATACATACATAAATGAGTTTGTGCAAGGAGGCGTGGCACATCCCATTTTTAATCGGTTATTTGTTCACCATGAACGACGTCGGGCACTCAGCTAGTTTCATATAAAATTTTGAGCCTCCCATAAAGCTTTCTACCCACCATGCAAAATATGGGAAATAGGCAACAATCGTCAATGACAACAAATTGGCGACTCACCATTTTATTGCCGTGGTGACAAATCTGCAACATGATTTCCTTCATGTCAATTTTGGAATAAATAAGTTATGAAAAATTCCAAAACTTATAAATTTCGCGTCAACAGTATTATCCAAAAGCGTCTTAATTTATACCAAACACAGGATTGAAAAAATAACAAGCCCCTTAGCGAAAGAAAGAATTAATTTCGTTTCTAAGTTCCAATTTTGCATACAAAAAATAAATGAAGTATAAAATAAAATTATTCCAAATATCGCCTGAAGCGATAAGAAACCGACTCATTCAGGTAATAAGAAAACGACTCGCCCAGGCGAGTTGCCTTCGGCGAACGTTTTAAAGCGACTGGTAATAGGAAAACGATAAAATGGCGATATTACCGGCAATAAGCTTGTTTCCGAGGGCGACACGTTTTCTTATTGCCAGCAACAAAAATTGTTTAGTGGGTAGGCATTCATATAGAAAAAAAAATATATATACTGCACGATTTGTGAGTATGCGTGTGTATGAAAATTTATTCTATTTAAGGATTATTTTTCAAAGTTTGCCCGTATTCTAATATTTTTTAGTACTATGTACTTTTTTTTTTTTAAATTATGCGAGCGTGATTTATACAATTTCATACGATTTTCTAGGAATTTCTTCTTGCTATAGACGTTACATCGAGTGGCACTCCCGAGGAGAAGCTCAAATGGGCTTTCCGCATGTACGACGTAGACGGTAATGGCGTAATTGACATACAAGAAATGACGAAAATTGTTCAGGTAGTAAAATACTGTTATATTATTGCAGATATATATGTGTGTATGTATGTATGTACTCGTAGTATGTGACGCAAACACCTGCAGACATGTTGTGCCTTTTTGTTTGCCATTTTATTTGAGTTACAACGTTAAAAAGCCATTTTTATTTACTACAGTAATTAAAAGAAAAAAATACCAGCTAACTTTCTATACACGAAAAATTTACGTTTTCCTTCTTTTCTCTTGCACACACAAATGTTGTAATTATGCTTTTAATTTATGCCTTCAGTTCACGTTTGCTCAAACTACTTATTAATTTATGTACATATGTCTGCGCCCATTAATTTATAGGTGAGCTGTGTTGTGTGTTCATATAAAGCTATAGTTTTTATTACACATACTACTACATGCATGCGTGGGTGTGTGAGTGTTTAAGTGAATCTATAGTATATTTAATTGTGTGTGCTTCGGTTTTGTTTGTTTTAATCTTACAGGCCATATACGATATGCTCGGCGCGTGTTCATCGAATCGACCAGCAGATTCTGCTGAGGAGCGTGCAAAAAATATTTTCGCAAAAATGGACGA